GCAGGCGTCCCAATACTTTTGGCAATATAGTGTATATTGAATTCTTGAGTCACAATGATGTATTTGTTATATATTTATAATATATATTAGTTGTTTTTTAACACAATAAGATTTGGCAATATAGTGTATTTTCGGTATGGACTGGAGTGAAAAGCTCCAGTCAGTTAGAATTTCACCATAATTGTTTCATGCAACAGCAAGAGACGTTATGCATATAAGCCTCGTCTATATGAAACAAATAAACAGGATATTTTGTAAAACCATTCCATGCAGTTGCTACAAAACTCAATCCCTTATCTAATTGAATAATGTATACATACTTCCCTTGTGTCATGACTGTGCAAGTTTATTGTTATGTAGTGTGAAACACCCATCTTGATTATTTTTTTGTTTGTAGACGACATTTGCTGAAAAACTATTCTAGCATATGACACATACATGATATTAACAGCATTTTAGAGAAAATTAACAAAGTACTTTGATTAAAAACATGCTTTATTTTTGTACTTTTTAAGATCTTAAAGTGACACTAAACTCAGGAGTTAAATATAAAAAATACATTTAAGTACCCTAACTATTAAAACTGTGTCATATTTGTGTATGACTCAGCTGTAGATCCTCAAATCATCAATGAATTGGTGTTGACACTGTCCTTCCTTCTGGAGGGGGGCTACTTTTGTGTCCCTGTTTGTGTTTTAAAGTAGCCACTGCTCAAAGCTCGCTCCTTAGCAAGGATTGTGGCTTGCACATGATTGATAACTGAAGTGAACACAGCTTTAGCTTATTCACTAACCTAAGAGAAAATTCACTTTTCTAAGTTAACAACCTCTATCATTTATTAAATCAACCCTCCTACATGGAGCGTAATCTTAAAAAACAGGTACACCATCCATTTTACTTTTTACTGGTTACAGAGACAAAAGCAGAATCTGCACTTCACTATACATTTAAAAAGAAATTTGCATCATGGAGTCATGCAATTGATTTTGTAAACTGCTCTGCACTTTGGTATATGAACAAACACAAATATCATTTTTATTTACCTGTCATCAAATTAATTGTGAACAGCCTGTTTATCAGTTTGTAAGCAACAAAATGAATGCAAAGAAAATACAAAATTCTACCAACTATAAATAAGGTAGTATTAAAAAGTAATGCCTATTGCGATATAGAATGTTTAATTGTGAAGAGATGTAAACAATGAACATATACACAGAAAGCCTGTAAATTCCTTTTATTAGAGTCACCCCTCCACATAGTCCCCATCACAGTTGATGCATTTGCGCCATCATTTTACCCAGGCCTCAAATCCAGTTTGGAAAGATTTTACAGAGCACTCTTTCTCTTTCTGATAGCTTTCTTCATTTTTCTAATTGTACCAATGTATGTTTTACTGTAGACGTTTGCGCCTTATATCCAAAATATCCATGAGAATGATGCCTGGGTCATCCCAGAACATTGTTATCATGATCTTGTAGATTTGAATTTCTTTGGATTAGTAGAGCTTGAATGAAGCCATTAATGCCTTGTCAACATTTTAAGTTTCTCCCTTTTCTAACTTTTTTTTACCTTACCCAACATCTAACATTGCTCATTATTGTATCACTATACAGTGTTGTGGTGGGTCACCTGCACTCCATACAGCGTCTTGACCTATTCCATTCCGTCGTACTCATAGTGATAACACGGATGGTGACGTGGTTCCCAGAGTCATGGAAAATGAAGATCACCAGCACTCGATTTGAAAGCATTTCCACTTTTATTAAAGTATCATGTCATTCAATGTCATTCTGGCAACACTTTAGTGCCACACAGGGTTCCTTCTTCATGGTGACTAGGGATTGGCTCGACGTTCGAGTCGAACAATAGTTCGACTCGAACATCTGTAGTTTGTGTGTTTGGCAAACACACGAACTATCAGGGCGTTCGGCGGGCGAACAGGCGGGTCATGACGTGCTGCTTGGCTTTCCCGATTGACTAGGAAGGCAGCTTCACTTGTTGGTAGGCAGTCTGGCTTCCTAACCAATCAGGAAGTCGGGGGGCACGTCATGACTCGCATCTTCCTGATTGGTCAGGAAGTCAGGCAGCCTCTGAAACCAGTGTTCTTTCGCTAGAACAACGGCTTCACAGGCAATCAGTAAGCTGGGTGACGGGTCATGATCCGCCGCCCGACTTCCTGATAATCGGGACACAAGGCACCGGTACTCGGTATTAGCGAGAACCCGGGGAAAAAATATCGGTACTCATACTCGATACCGTAAAAATGGTATCGGTGCATCCCTAATTAAAATAGAAGTGAGATATATGCAGCATCCTATTCATTTAACCCAAATGCCGTATTAGAGACTCATTGCACCTCAGAGAATGTCCGTTATGATTTTTTCAGACCAATATTAAAGTAATACTTACTTTCTTTGGCTATAATGGTTGATGCAGTACTAAATGGGCCTTTCATTCAGCGCATACCACACTGAAGAGCTGTAAGGTGCTAAGTGCCAGCACTGACAGAGCACTTGTAAATGTGAAAATCCAATTAGCAAAGCCAAATATTGCTTTACTGCATCTCAGCCACTTATCATTCCTTATCTAATGATTTCTTGAGTTGAAGTGGAGCTAAACTCAAAAAGTGAAGATTTGCTATTTTATATGGAACTTATAAAATGTTAATTGTGCCTAAGCAGTACCCTGAAAATGTACCTTTTGTTATAACTTTCTCCTGGAAAATAGCAGTGCTCTACCTATATCTATGCACTCCTGTACCTACCGCCTCATAGCTGTATATCTCCTTGGCAATATCTAAGGTAATGGTACCTCTAACTGATAGTCTCACAAAATACAGAGTGAGACTTGTAGGGTAATTCACAAAACTGCCAAAGGATCCAGCCGTAGCTTCGGCTGATCTTTCGGGTCACTTCGGTTGCGGGAGTCCTTCAGTTCAGTTGAACCGAAGGGCTGCTGTACAGGCTATTCACTGTAGCCCATACAGCAGCCGAAGGCTACCGAGCAGCGTATCTGATCACTCCAGTGTTTGTAAATAACTGGGGCACATAGTACTATGTCTCCCTAGTTATGAATGAACAGGAAATGCTTTACATCTCTTCCTGTTCATCCATGAGTTTCTGAATGGGTAGTAGCACTCAGTACAGAGGCTTCTCCCCATTCAGAAACTGGATGATAGTAAATATTTTCTGAATGAATGGGAAGCCTCTGTACTTTCCATTCATTTAGAACAGAGGCTGCAGAAAAAGAGATTGAGGATTTTGTGTCCTCAATTTCTTTATCTATTTTAAAAGGGGAGTATCAGATTCTAAGATCAGGTCACATTCAGTATCAGGGGCCTAATATTTCCCTGAAGCCCCCACAACAGTAAAAAAATGTTTAAAAAATAATTTAAAAAAACCTTCCTGGAGGCAGGGGCGCATGACATCACATGACAACGCACGTGCACGCTTGCTGGGTGACGTCACCCGCCTGTTGGGGGGGCACATTTTTTTGTTCTTGCCTTGGGCGCAAAAGGAGCCAGCTACAGCTCTGCATCACAAGGGACGATAAGAAGAAGGGCAGTCTGCCCTCTCTACCCAGGGAGTGCTTGTACTGAGAAGGAGGTCTAATCTAAGTGGGAATCCCCTCTCCTTGCTTTTCTTCACCCACGGTAGGCTGCCATTGAAAGAAGGAAAGAGCACAATCCTCCCCCCAGCACCCATCCTGGTTCCTGCTTTGCCTAACAGGACACTGCAGTCACTCTTGTCAATCATCAGAAAGCTGGAGAACTTACCAACCAAAGTGATAATGTGGCTTCTCTAGGCCAAAGCCAGCAAGTTCCCAGGCATGGTGGTAATGTTATGCTTCTTGAGAAAGGCCTCCATTACACTGGTGGTCATTGGTGCCTGTACCACCCAGATAAAAGCCACTTTAATTACACTGATCTCTCCAGGCAAAGTGGACCTCTATGGTCTCATGTTAAATGCATGCATGCTAAGTAATGTGTTAGTGTAACATTTACAGGTATTTATTACCTCCAATAGAGATTACAGTACTCCACCTGACAATGCATTCTTCTGCTTTTCTCAACACAAGGACGGAGCCATCTTTGTTTAGGGTCAGCATTTATATGTTGGACCAAGATGCTGCTTAGAAATTACACATTAATGGAAATCCTGGTGTGTGTGCAGGTATAGCTCTAAGGCACAATAGCCAGCTGTGTTTAAGCACCGGCAACAAGAGAAGTTATCTGCTAAATGTAAACAACTTTAGGCTTCCCAGATCACTTTTTCCTGTGCTGGGCTTAGTTGCGTTTACATATGTTTACACACTTTGACACTTGCAAAACCGGGCTAATTGGACCTGGAATGCAAACATTTCTAGTTTAGGTAAAAACCTATAGACTGAATGCACCTAAACGCTGCTGGACATGAGTCTAGCTGCATTTAGAAATTAGCTCCAAATGCACCTGAACTCAAAAGTTTTTCAGCATAGTGTGCTTAAGGCCATATTCACAAATGTCTGACCCAAATAAGCCCCCTGCTGCAGCATCTCGCTTTGATTTGCTACAACATTACAATGTTGCATTCTGATTACTGGGGAAGAGAACACTTAGCTAAGGCCTTTTGCATATTGCCGCCAGATGGCGTATTTCTCTGGCCGAGAGTAACAGGAGCCCCTGTCACTATGTGCTGCTGTACAGTGCACCTGTCACTACCGGCCAAAGAATTACCCTGGGATGTATGCTATACAGCTAGACTGATAACATCATCTCACCCTAGGCAAAGTCACCTGAAAAAGCATGTTTGCACACAGATTTAATTTATACAAAAATTAGATGTTGTTAAGAATAAAAGCATCAGTGATAGATGCTGTTTTACTGTGCTGAAGATGTAAAAAATAGAGGATCACAAATGCAATAACCCGATATATGCTTGCCATAAACAGTATGCCATGTCATTGATGCAGACGTTGGGCAGTGACACATTTACCGGCTGGATTGTGAACAAATTGTTGCTAGGATATAGGCGGATCTTTATTCTCTCAGGAGGCTATCGGTTGGATGAATGTTCTTTCTTTTCATCTCTCGGTTTCTCAGAGTCTTGTCCAGTGGATGGGAGAAGCTTTGCTGCAGAAGACTGAGAAGAGAAGGAAATGCTCAGCTGATCTGGGGAGTTCCACTCAGTATATATTTATCCTCCCTTCTCCATTTCATGGAATCAGGAGCAGGGCAACACCAGGGGATTATGGGATGCCTTATAAAGACCTGTCACTAGTGAGGGGTGAGGCAAAGGGAAACTGGCAAATTTAGAGGGAGAGAAGGAGGATGTGTCAGAGAGAAAGAAGAAAATAAGGAGGTGGAATTTCACAAGGCGAAGAAGTGGATAGCAAAACAACAGAGCTAGAAGGAGAGATGAAAGGGGGATATACAAAGCTATCAGCGAGTGAGATTTAGAAAGGGAGGCAGGAGAGGCTAGTGTCATTCTGTTCATCTCCATCACACACCACAGGCATTAGCAGTACCCAAGCCTACCGACTCAGCAATCTACACTGAAAATATGTTGCCTGGCTCTGGGGATACAGCTGAGGGAGAACCGAAAGACAGCCATGTCCCTGCACAAAACCCTGGAGACAAACTAAAAAGGGAAGAAGCCAAAGCATTCTATGACAATCTGACCCCCACCAAGAAGCCAAAATCGGTATGTACTTCCTATCTAATAGTAATGTAATGCAGTCACAGTGGGAAAGTTGTTGAGCGGGTTCCCTGACGTACTGGGCCAGATAAACTATTGTCATTGCGCCAAATATTTGGCCCACAGGAACCTTATTTTTTTTGGATGAGCCAAATAGTAGTTCCATTTGAAGGCTTTGAAAAGACAGATGTGACTAGTGAACCAATTGTAAAAAAAAAAATCCCAGGTGTAACTTTTTGCATAAAAAGTTTCACAATCTGCACAAAATAAATAATGGTTTAGAAAGTGAATTTGGGAATATTTGGCGTAACAGAAGTATGCAGTAGGCTACCAGGAGGATGATGGCACAATACAATTACACATTCTACTATGCATCAACTTCTTATTCTTCTTATTAATAATATTATTCTTATTCTTCATACTATTATTATACAGGATTTCTATAGCATCAACTGTTTACGCACTTTGCAAAATAAGATAAGACAGTACAATTACACCACAATTCAATACAAGAAGGTCAGGGGGACCCTGCTCATGAGAGCCTATAATCTAAACGGGAAGGGCATTAGAAACATAAGGTGGTAACTGTGTAGGGATGAATTGATGAAGAAATTAAAATATCACTTGTTAGGTAGAAGCAGGATAATATTCCTGAAGAGATGTGTTTTCAGGGATCACCTAAATTCAGAGTAAATAAACTACATGCACTGCTTCATAATTGTTTATTTGATATGTGATGCACCACAATAAGATGTTATGTGCGACAATTCGCCTTCCTCAGCAACCAACATTCATTGTTTATCTGGCACGGTGTATGTCTGCTATTTCACTGCATTTTATCTTATCGTCTTTCTCCATGTTTTCTATTTTAGTCTGCGTTTTTCAGAAAGGTTAGGGTTAACCTACTAGCAGAGATACTGTAGATGTGTGGCTTGGCTTGTGTATACTATGAGCCAGGGCAAAGTGACAATATGATGTCCCTCATTCTTATGAAGGTAATTGCTTGTGCATAAAGCTTTGTGACCTTCAACTGTGGAATCAGCAGCGGATGTAGAATAGGCGATTGGCCAAGGTCACTGACCTATGACACCGCTCCACTAGAAAAATGGCCCTGGAACTAAATATACACACAAACAATGAATATAGCCAGTATATGAGTATGTGTATTTATATATGAACATGTCCAAATTCGCACTGCTTGTTTCAGACAAATATAGCCCAGTCAGCAATGTATCCCCCACCTCCATTCAACTGTTGATCGCTTATCATGTATCCCTTAGGCTAGGTTCACATCTGCACTACATCGCATGACACCAAAGACGGGCGTCCCGGTATCCGCGGTCATGCACATTGCAGGCAGCAATTGCCGCGCGGCCCCATTGACTTCAATGGGGTGACATCCGTGTGACAATCGCAGAAAAAAGGTACATGTACCTTTTTTTTGCGATACACGATGCGCGGTGAGGTATCTTTGTGTGAACCTAGGCTTAAGCTGACTATGCCAATTAGATGACCTGCAGGCTTCAGGATATAAACACAGAGTTATTTTTCTATATCCCAACACACATGTCAATGTTAGAGTAATATGTGACTGGATCATAGGCTGCAAATGGCCTCTGCATTAAACGGTGAAATATTTCCAACGTGATTGATAGGACTTTTATATAATTTTGCAGTGACACATTTTTTATCATCTCGACATATCAAAATAACCAGTGACAGGTTCTCCATCTCAGTGTGTCATTTTTAAGAATCACTTGTAAGGCAAAGCTGCATATTGATCATCTGCAGTGAGTCTACACGCCCCCAGAATTGCTCTCTGGAGGCTTACCCTGGCTTGCAGCATCGTAGTAAACAATATACTGTATTTCAGACGGCTCGTAAGCTTAGCACTAAGCCAACAGAATAATCTCCCTTTAGGTTTAGCTGTCACAAATGGCACAAACACGTTCTGTCGCTGAGCACTGGATAAGGTGATGAAAAATAAAAATATGCTTCTGAGAGGTGATACTGTCCTCTCTCTACCCTGACCTGAAAAAATGAGTCATACCATCTGATAAGTTACCATAAGGAACAGCCCTGGTTTTCTTTGCTCCATGTACCCCAGATAGGCACCATAGCAAAGATTTTCATCATTGCATGGTCGGGGCGCATAAGCTTTCACCACACAGGGCAAGTATGCAGCAGAATCGAGGTTAATTATTGTTACGGCTTACTTTATAGGTTAGATTCATTTTTTGTCTTAGCGGTTCAGTTTTTTATGAGTTAACTGTTAACACTGAACTTTATCTTTACCTTCAGTCTTGCACAGTTGTACACAGGGCTGTCTCTATAATGAGGCAGCCTGAGCTGGTTGCCTCAGGTCAGATGGCATCTCTTTGGGGGGCGGCCGGGTGTTGGTTGGGGCTGCAGGGGGCCTCTTAGCAGCCTGAGATGCTCTGCCTGCCGTCCCGCCCAGGTCACTGACATCACTGATCACCTCAGGTAGCAAATACCATAGAGATGGCCCTGGTTGTACAAGCCTATCCTGTTCTGAGATTGCATACTCTGATTTCACTACACACTGTGAGCTTCTCACAATGTGCAATAGAGGCTGGGAGCACAGACAAATTGCTGAGGCACTGGGCACTATGTAAATCCTGAGGTGAGGCTAAATAGCCAGGAAGCCCCACATCAGAAATAGCGCCGGAGGTAGAATGAATGAGCAGCCTGGCTGATGAAGGGGATCAGCGTCCCTGTAAAGCTTTCCTAGCAACAGTATCCTATCGCGAGCACATGCATTTGAGTTGAAGGAAGCGAAAAGGGAAACAGAAGGAGGAAGTGTGCGCCACCTCTGTTCCAACACTGGCGTGCTCCCAATTCATTCTACCTCTGATTTAATTCCTGATGTGGGACTCCCTGGCGACTGATTCAAAGACAAACATCTCAGCACTTCTCTTCTTTGGCTTTCTGCCACTGTACAAGATGCACCTGCTTTTACCTGGATTTTCAGAATACAATAGAACTGGTCCTAATATGCTAGATGTTTTATGTATTACTGCAGAGGATGTTTTCCTGTAGAGTGACTAATGGTACATTGCTTCTCTTACTTTCTTCTCGTTTGTCTATGTAGGAAAATAACAAAGATATACTAACCCAATAATCAGAGCTGGTCAGCTGTAACAGCCCACCCTCCAGTCTCTTCCTATACTGCAGCAATGCAATGTCCCTTGGCATGCTCACTGTGTATAGAACGTGATGACTCGGGGACCTTAGACCACTGGAGAGGATGGGGAGAGAGGCTCAAGAGACCAGTCTAAGAGCAAGCTGGCTGGGATGGTCTGCTGAGCATAATTTTTTTTATTATTTTGGAACCTAGACAAAAACAAGCACTTAACCCTTGCAGTGTGGGGGTAGCCTCACTACAAAAGTTAATAATCATTTCCCCCAGAGTTCTTCTTTAACAATGTGCAAATACTCTACTATTTTTGGTAGATACATTGTAATAACATTAATGATATCTAAGGAGGTAAACCACTTTTAAATGTCGAAATAATCGAATTAGGCACAATGATTATAGTGGCCACATGGCTTTGATTGCAGTGACATAAACAACATCTTCAAGGAAGTTAATGAGAAAACGTAATAATTAATGGAACTGATAATGCCCACAATGCTGCAGCTAGGAAATCTACATACCTACTAATGTATTTATGAAGTCTAGGCTTTTTATAGCCCTGTCTATTTTCATCACAAATGGACCTTTTTCTTAACATGATGACCCCAGATATACATGACCCATGATGACCCTGGATATGGTGCCTAGTAACTATGCCTTTTCCATTTTCTGTATAAATATAAGTCTTGGCTATAACAGCAGTTAGCCATTATCAACTTGCATACAGTTAGCTTAGAACATTGCTAACAGGTCCATCAATGCAGAAAGCAATCTATACTATGAAGTGAAATTGGTCTGATTGTATTGCCTGTAGGCTCCACTGTTCTACTAGCATCGAATTTAAAATCATAAAGCTGAACTCTGGTGTAAGCAAATTTTGCCTAAATTCAAGAGTAATGTCTTTACTGAATCTTGGTGATCTTTGTGTATTTCTTCCAGACCTGTGCAGTAATTTGCATCTGGAGGAAAATAGGTTTAACCTTTGCAAACAGAAAGGATTCTTCACAGTTAGAGCTGTGAAAATGTGGAATAGACTCCCCCAGGAGCTTGTTCTAGCTAGCTTGGTTAATTGTTTAAAAAAACATCTGGATGTATTCTTAAAAACGCACAGAATATTACTGGATATTAAGTTCTTATAGGTATATTAGGCATCAGAGATTGTTGATCCAGGGAATATCCAATTGTGTTATGGGATCGGGAAGGATTTTTTTCCCCTGTTGGAGCATACTGAACCATGCTTTATAGGGGTCTTTTGCCTTCCTCTGGATCAACAGGGGGTAGCTGTGGGCATAGACTTCTGTTTCGGCTTTTCTTCTTTTTTTTTTCTCCTCTTATCTCTATAGGTTGAACTCGATGGACATGTGTCTTTTTTCAAACTGACTAACTATGTAATCCAGTGTGAAACTTTACCTCTGTGTAGGAGCTCCCTGTAATAAAAATCAGTCACTGCTGCTCTCTCTCCTTATGCAGGGTGACTGGTCTTGTATCCGCCCCCTCCTGTAGTTTTCTACAGGAAGCCTGTGGTGGGTGGGGCCTGCTTTGCCCCTCCCACAGCTCTGCTGTCTGCACAGGCAATGTACAGCACAGTGATGATGTCATGCTACTTTTAAAGGAAATACCTGGGTTTGCAAAAGCATTTGGTGATCACAAAACGGATGTATATATTTGGGACTACTGGGGCATATATTCAAATTAACATTTTTGTGTCTGGAATTCATCTTTGATGTGTATCTATAGCTAACATTTTTTTATGTTTTGGATAAAGCAGGGTAATGTAACACCTCCCGGAACCGTCCCGCGCGCCGTTTGCGTTCCAGCTTGGCCGCGAACCAACCAGCGCATTTCTTCC